GGCAATTTTAAACACATATGCCAAGGAGGCATGATGGTTATCACTAATGTTATTTGCTTTGACGTCTCAAGTTCGAGTCCTCCCTTGGGCTAGATAATAGTTATCCCTTCTTGAGCTAATTTTTGTTCCCCCTTAGGCATATAATAAATTAAAGTGTTATTTCCAAAATTTGTACGCATTTTATTAATTTTTACATTGATAATCAAATCTTTTATATTATTTATTAATTTTTACATTATAAATCATGTAATGTACTATTTTTCTTGCAGTTGTCAATAATACATTTTAAATTAGATAATATTATAAAATATTTATAATTTGTTATTATTTATCTAATAAAATAATTATAAAATATAAACTAATAATTATAATTTCAGTATATAATATTATAATTAGTTATGTACTAATAATTTTGGATTATAGTTAGTGAGGCTGTAATAATTTGGGTTTTTTTAGCGGATTAGGGTTTTTTGCCAAAACGAGATTTTAATGGCCATTCTTGCATTGATTTAGTCTACTCTTTATTATAGTCAATGTATAATTATATATTTTATCCATGATAATTCTATGATTTTTCTTTTATGTGACGCAAATTTAATACTTAAGTTTATACAGGGAAAGAGCACCTCAATATTCACAAATTGATAAAAAAAATGAAAGTTAATAATATAGTACCCTCATTTCTTATTGGATTCCTAAAAAACAACATTTATAATGAATTTTAATAAATTTTTTGGATTTTTTTGAAGCTTTAATTCAACTGATTCAGCCGATTCCCGATCCTGATCGCCGATTCTTCGATCTGGATCGATTTTTGAGGTGCCCGATCCGGGTCACTGATCCGCTTTTTAAACCATTGCTTTCTACCAATGGTTTAAAAATCGGATCGGTGACCCGAATCGGGCACCTCCAAAACCGATCCGGATCGGCGAATCAGCTATTGGGATCTAGAATAGGGTGAATCGGTCAGAATAAAGCTTCAAAAAAATTATTAAAATTCATCATAAATATTATTTTTTAGGAATTCAATAAAAAATGAGGGTATTCCATTAAGAATTTTCATTTCTTTGCATGAATATGCGAATATTGATATGTTCTTTCCCTGCATGAACTAGTATTTATCATTTAATTTACATCACACAGAAAGATAAACATAGAATTATCATGGAATAAGTATATCAACATACATTGACTACAATAAAGCATACAATTAGTAACATACGATCTAAAAATAAAATGACAGACGATGTTGTTCTTCTTCTTGGTCACGCTGGTGCCATTGATTGAATTCGTTTGACAATTCATTGATTCAATTTAAAACAATTCATCAATATTAGCAAGCGTCTGACTATATCCAAATCTCTGAGTATTAGTGTTTTGTTGTGTTTCCAATCCAAAATCCCCGAAGCTTGTCCATTCTTCATGCTTACCTACACTGTCGTGCTCATCCCTACCCTATTGCTGTTGGGACTCGATATGTGAATAATATGGCTAGGATAGGGTGGCCTCGAAATCATCATCTCTCTCATTTTCCCTTAGACCCCCTTCCCACTCTCCCTCATTAGGTGTAATATCACCGACATCTTCGATGAATTGTGGATATGTTGGCTGACTACTTCCTCTTTCATGCTACTCATCACCTTCTTCAAGATCGTCCTCACCGATAGCCTCAAGGAACGCTCTCTTGTGCAATACTGGCTCCTCTTCTACTACCCATTGGTCTGCCGTGTCTGTGACAAATATTGTGTCTAAGTCTATCGTCCTATAGTCTTCAAGCTTCCTTCGTATTTGTCGCTCTCGGAGGTTTAAGTTATAATGAACGTAGACTAGTTTATGAAGCTTCTCCGATGCGAGTCGATTCCTCCTAGTAGTATGCAACCATTAGAACCTACTCCAGTCGCGCTGACAATCAGTAGCAGAACATGTCTGAGAGAACACCTTGATTGCTATCATCTTTAGGTGAGGTGCATCAGTACCATATATCTCCCATCATTCAGCTGGATTCAAATGCAAAAAGCATTGTAAGGGCAAGAACAATTCAAAAGATTAAATATATGAATGAACAAAATATTAACGAGGGGATAACCTGGATCCATCTTAGTTCCAGAATTCCTGGCAAGTCTAGTTCCGAAGGATCCTATAACATCCCTATACATAGCAAGCTAAAACAAATATATTCGTTTTAGTGCATTATTCTTCACAAATATAACAACTCAATGAAGTTATTACCCAAACATTAAATAATACCTCTTGCATTGCTGCTACTTGGTTTCGATAGCTTCTCTCCAACCTTGCAATAATGTATCTAACTCCTTCCATAATCTTGTGGGGATGTTTAGGTGTCTAGAAAATAGATAGAAAAATATCATTTACAAGTTCATAAAAAAATGATTTAAAATGAAACATTCTAATGAAATAAATATATATTTACCAGCATAATGAATTTGATGTCCAAATTTGGTGTTCCACCTCCTTTCTATAATCTCGATCACTTTGCTAACAAAACTACACTTCTCCCTAATAGCTGATTTCGCCCTCTCGATACTTTCATAAAGGATGCCCTTGGTAGCTCCTTGTCAGCATCCACCATTCTTAACACCGTGACCAAAGGGGCAGTGGCCTCTACAACATTGGAACATCGAGACTAAAACCTCCTATTTGAGACTATGCCGTCCACTTTTATACGGTGCTGGACTTCGAGAGGCGGTCATTTAACCACTCTTCATAGGTAAACAATCTCTTTAATGCACCTTCAGATTCCCGAATAGAGTCCACCGCTAAGTAATCGGTCGCAAAGCGGGTTATGGCAGGCCTGATTATCTCTTTTTTTCTTAGAATATTCTCTAAACAGAAATAAAATTTTATAGTGGTTGTATATAAATATCGACACCAACTTTGCTTCCTCTAGAGTCTCCTTCACAATTTTGATCTCACCGATCTCCTCTAACATAAGATCGATGATGTGCGGAGCACACAGGGTCCATACTA